TGGCTTTTCCCCACTGTACATCACCAAACCTTTCTTTCTAGTCTGTCTTAGTCCAGAAGCTCTGTTGCCGAAACCGGTTTAGCATCACAGGACACCAGCATCCACTGACAGATGGGTGGTGGCTGTACCTGAGGCGCATCGGTCAGAATCAGACCCAGGTTTCCTGCATGGAAGGTAAAACTCTGCCCAGAATTCTGTCCACCATCATTGTTGGGAAAAGTGGCTTTGATTTATTGAGATCAGTGCTATAGGACTCACTGCCATGGAATCGTAGGACTCACTGCCATGGAATCGATTCTGACATATGCGTACAGTGGCCCTCTATAGACTTCTTAGGTTATTGCTATTCTCGGCAGAAACAGACAGCATCATCTTTCTCCCATGGAGCCACTGTAGCATTGCACTGCTGACTTTGACCTACATAAACCTGTTGCTTTACTTCTGTTTCTACTAGTGTAGCTGCTGCTATCATTTCAAGCTGAGAGCTTCCTAGGGACCAACCCTTGTGTTCTGCCTTTTACCTGGGTTTATCAGTGAAGAATGCTGTTCGGCACCGTTCTGTATGCAGAATGACTTTAATGAAGAGGTCACCTGGGCCGGTAAAAGTCACAATACCTGTGAATTATCCATTTGGTCCTCCCCAATTTTTTCAGATGAGGAAACGGGGACAAAGGAGGTTGCACGGTCATAGAGCACTCATGGTGGAGTGAACAGTTGCACCTAGGAGGACTGGTCACAGAACCCACACTCGTAACTTCCAATCAGGGAGGTCCGCGATGCTGCAACGTTTATCCTTGGAGGCCTACACTCCAAACACTCACTGCCACGAAGTGGATTCTAACACATTGCAACCCGGGCATCGTGACTGCCGAGTCTGACTGCCGTGGGTTGTCAGAAAAGAACACTGCAGGGTCATAACCGTGTTTGCATGACTCATTGGACTGATAACGGCAAGGTCGGCAGTTCAAAACCACCAGCAGCTGCATGGGAGACAGATGAAGCTTTCTGCTCCTGTAAAGATTTGCAACCCAAAGGGGCACTTCTACTCTGTCTTAAAGGGCCCTATAGGGTCCCT